AGATATGTTGTTTATAGAAAGGACGGAGCAAAACTTGCAGTACTCCTCCATTATTCTTATTTGAAGGTTTTCATTCAAATAAGGATGACAGAGGAGTCCTATTTCACTTTACTATACTCAACCAAATTTAAGAATTATACGTGGTAGAGCCATGCTGCAGTTATATTAGTAGTATAGTTGTAGCACGAATGGGTCGGCTCGACCGGGGAAGGACCACGCTCTCACAGAACGTGAAATAGTACTTAATGCTGCTGTTTTCGTATGGTGAGTGTAGAGAACCGGACACCCTTTTTACTGGAAACGAGGCATTCCATCTTAGTCCTCACGGGTGACAACGCATCTGCATTTTGATTCGTAATCGAGGGTAGATGTAGATGCCTATGGGCCACAGCAATCACTTACCATCAGGTGGACTGTGTGCTCGTTTGTCACCCTATCCCATAAAAAAAAGAAAAAATACCTTTTGAGAGGTGTCAGACTTATTTGTCTAGGCATGCCAACCAAAAAAGAAAATCGGTACGTGCAATATTCGATTCTTAAGCAAAATCGATATCAATCCTTTAGAATTCGTAATCATTTACAGTTTTGTTTCGATTGCTACCAGAATAAATTAGAAACAGATAAATTAAAAGTTAAAACACAAAATTTATCAGTTTCTTCGTATTTATTGTTACTGCTTGTTTATAGGATTGAAAATAGATTAAAAATAAATTTATTCAATCACTTTCACTACAACTATAAAATTATACAAGACAGTTTACTAATAATGATCAACATGGAATTTCATTTCATCGAGACCGACAAATTTCTTACTTTAATAAACACAGAATTCAAAAATTACGATATTATTGCCACATATTTATAGAAGCTTGCCATGAAAATTATAATCAGTTCCGAACAGTTTTTATTGTTCTATAGCCCATAGTTTATGGAGCCTGCGTAAATTACACTATAATAAAGGTATTTACACGTTATCAGGTAAGTCTTTTGTTTAAACTGTGATTTTATACTGCATAATCCCAGAAGTTAATCCCTTTCATAACAAAATCGCGTATAAGAACGACCAAATGACCTCTAAATCGCCAATCTAAAGTGAAGCTGCTAACTGCTATTACCCGAATGTAGTAACTTACAGCAGTTTTTTTTTAGTTTTAAATGGTATTGTTTAATTTTAAAAAATTCATTTTAGTGCTGTGGTATCAAAATGCTTAAAGCGTCCTTTTTACGAACGCGAGAGCAGGTAAATGATTGGAATATTGTATACACGGTTATAATTCGCAATTTTTAATTTATTTTGTGTTATGTTTTTTGAAATTATTTGGCACACTTTTTTGTTGTTATTGTTGTACAAATATTTAAGGTTAAAAAGTATATGTATATTTCTAACGTCAGTTTATATTAAATCTATGGTATAATTATTTGTGAACACAGGTGAAAAAAACAACGAGCGAGTCTTACAATAGTCGCATATTATGTGTATGTATCATCTCATAACCCACATCTTGTTAATAACCTACACCTTGGTAATAAGCAAAATCGACGTTATATCTTGTAAAAAGCTATTTGCTTTTTAAATCACAATTAAAAATATCAGTTGAGCAGCGACAGAAATAAAACTCAAAATTTATAAAAGCTAAATACTGAATGCAATATTTATTCGAATAATTATTCATTTAATACTCAATTGTATTTTCACTTTTGACAATTATTATCAACAGTAATTACATTTATTAATATACTTTACACATACATATTATATATTATAGGGCCCTGCACTCTATTGTGAAGAGTCAAAATGTGTCAAAAAAGGCACGTATGGCAATTCATAATGCTGTGTTGGTCCCTAATATAACGTATGGTAGTGAAAGTTGGGTGTGGCAGAAGAAGCATGAGATTAAAATAAACGCAGTAGAAATGCGGTCGTTAAGGAGTATGTTAGGGCTGAATCTGAGTGACAGGATGAGAAATTGTGTGATAAGAGAAAAGTGTGGTTTGCAAGATGTGTTGTGACCAGGATTAGGAAAGGAATTCTTCGGTGATTTGGTCATGTAGAAAGAATGAATGAGGAAAGACTGACAAAGCAAATTTATGTTGCGAAGTGAACGGCAGAGTCGGAAAAGGACGTCCTAGGCGAAAGTTTATCGACCAAATTGGTGATATATTGAAAACGGGCCAAATTAGGAGTACCCTTAACTGACGAGCCGAGAGTCAGGATCGTGTCAAATGGAAGTCTGTAGTCTCTGCTTACCCCTTTGGGTGACAGGCGTGAGTGTTTATGTATGTATGTACCGCGCGCGCTCATTGGTCAAATTAAATAGCGCGCGCTTCAGGCTTCCTATTACACAATTTCGTCCCTTTTCACGAAATCACTCCCACTTATTGCGGGAAAGCGAGGGAAAAGATGCTTCACATCAAAAAAGGTTAATTTGATAAACTCTTGTTACACAGGGAATTTCTCATGATAAATTACACTTAGTTTACTTAGTGACAGTAACATACTCGTATTTTGCCTATGTAGTTTACAATTGAAACTTTAAATAACTTATACTTGTGATTATTACTTCCTGGTGGAATCAAATTATTGCTTATTTGATGGAAAAACTTACCTACACACTTTTATATTTATTTAATAACAATAGAAACAAATATATAAAGGTTTGAATAAGAACGAGAATTTCACATTTGCCTATAATAAAATGTATAAAATATGAAATGTGAGGTAATATGATAGTTTGCTCTCCAATATTTATGAACGACCGCCGCGTCATAACTAGATACTGTTAAAAATGGTAAAAATAAAAACGACGAGAGGAGAGAGTACCCACTATTCCTGCTAAATAAAAAATAAATAAAAAATGGGACTCCTAGACAGGAGTGAATAAGCATTTCCTAGGCTCACCTGTTAGGCTAACATTTGAGAAGCTATCACTTATCACCACCGCTTTAATAACTTTTCTTGGATTTTGGTCAAACGGTATATTTAGATTAGGCGTAAGTTTTTTTTTATACTATAATAGCAATTGGTCATTAAACCACGTTATAGTATATTTTATGTACCTATCTAGTAAAACTTATTTTAGGGATGTACATCTAAAAAAAATTTCTACTTATATTTTCTATAAGCTAAGAAATATCTCGGTATAATCTTCCTTACTTAGCTAAACATTTAGTAAATATTTTTGTACGTCAAATAACAATATATTACGCCTGATCTTATCTGAGGCTCATGTCAAATATTCGATTCGAGGAAAGACCATACTGCGATTCATGCGACCCACGCTTTTTAACTGACATGTTTTTTTTTATTTCTGCTTCCAAATCGAGCGTGGCTACGTTATAGGTATTTCTACTTCCAAATCGTGTATGGCTACGTTATATATCAAAAATGAAATGATGGGTCATTTTGAAAAGAAGATAAAATGTGGAGCTCCAAGCGAAAAGGGTCCAGTAGTCGGGTAGTAGTCGGGTTAAGACTAAATTCGGTATCTCGAATCGTCAATTGATAGTACGGATTAAAAAAATATTCAAAAACTGGCACATATTTTTTACCAGACATTTTGAAGTTGAAATTCTGAAAAAGCTTGTTTTGAGAAAACGAATTTTTAAAGATTGAGTGAAAAAAAAAACAATCTTCTACTTGCTTATTACATAGATTTTTATTTATTATTATAGATTAATATACTCTTCATAAAATTAACCTATAATTATATTTGTAACATCAAAAATAAACAATTACGATCGAAATAAGAGATTGATGCACAGTTTAGTAAAAAGGTCCAGTTGTCGGTGCTTAGTAAAAAGTGAGTAAATACGACTGCAATTAGCAATAAAAATCTGAAATTAGATATTCCTTCTCTATTTAGGAACTAACAAAATAATAACGCAGGTTTTTTAAATTGTTATTGGAACAAATACTCTCGAAATAAGAGATCGATACACAGTTTACTAAAAAGGTCCAGTTGTCGGTGCTTAGTAAAAAGTGAGTAAATACGACACTAATTAGGAATAAAATACTAAAATTCAATATTCCCCCTCTCTATTTAGGAACTAAAAACATAACAAGACAGTTTTTATTATTATTAGAACAGGACAATGATTATTTTGGCTACACCGGTACCTTTTATAAAATAACATAACTAATCACTAGCCAAAATAAACACAAAAATTAATCTATTTGGGAATCTAACTTACGTTATCTACAAAAATATATTCCTCCTCGTACCTGATTCCTAAGACCAATCTGTTTGCAGTACGAACATGTTGGTTATTATCGAGTAGTCTTTTCAGTTGTTTGTTTCTGAAAAAAGTACTCGACAGATGTTGTTGGCAATGTTCAATGCTAGAATTGCTTGAGGAGCTTGGTTCGTTAACATTTGTAATGGGTTTCGGGCATAAAATGTCTATAGATTCTTCACTTACAAATTCACTTATAATGAAGATACGATTTTCTTTCGTACGTCATGCCTGCAGGGATTTTTTCCGAAGGAAAACCGTATACCTTATTCGGGTTCAAAACCTTTGTTACTTTTGGTTGACTGTCAGTATTTTTTTGTAACATATCTTGTGCCCTCTGCAGAAGCAGAAGCAAATGCAGAAGTTAGTTAATGGTTACAAAATCAGGTTAAAAAAATTGCCCAGTCGTAAGTTTTTACAAAAGTTTCTCCATTCTCATCACCCGTAAGAAAAGCTATTATAGATTTTATTTTCGGACAAACTTGAACAACAGCGACAATAACATCCTTCAAGTTATTACAGTCCCATTTTATGAAACTTTTTTTGAATACACCGAAATACATATCGGAGTGAACTTCGTATGACCCACGGGAAGAAAAGACATTCGGAAACTTCGATGTCTGCCTGTTAAAACCCGCCATGATGCATATTGCATGAGAAAGTTATTTTTATTTTGTCCAGCACAATTATCTGCGTGATAAACGACATTTTTTCGTCTATACCAAAATTTTCGAAAAAATTATGTAGCATTGAAATTATTACATTAGCTAGCATAAATTATTATTATTAGGGAAGGGAGTCCAAGTAGCACAGGGTTCAGGAATTACGTACAAAACGAACTTTTTCAATGGCTCTGCAGCAACACCAAATAAACTGACTTTAAATCCTGTCAAGAAATACAGTGGCCCGATTTGTTGGGAGTTGTGCGGTAAATGTACCCGTTGGGCAAAATCGAAAGAGTAATGCATGACGCCATCATAAGAACATGGTTCATGAGGTCCAAGTGTAAGAGCAGAATCCGTCAATGAATCAGTTGCACCTTTGATTACATTGTTATAATATTTTCGTTCAATTTGTACTAAATCGAGGTGCTGTTTCGACTTTTCTACAAGCTTTAACTTTTCACTTTCATTTAAATCACCCATTCGGCCCAACGTTGTCACGTTTTTCTGACAAGTTGCGCAAAGATCTGTTTTCTGCTTCTGTGTAACGACATATAGACAAAAATATTTCCAGAGATCGTACCAACTACTTATACCAATAGAAGTTTTATCGAGTGAAGCTACAATTTCCAAATATTTGTTGTACACATAAGCTTTAGACATACTACAGGGTAAACTTATTAAATCAGATTTAATTTGAGGGCCAGGTAATCGGCCCGGCAATACTAGACCATTTTCGTTAAAAAACTGTCTTAAAAAAGTAGCTGCGACTGTTCTCGTTTGCAAATTAATACAATTGTGAGGTCGTTTACGTGACCCGTGAAACTTTAGAGCAACACCGCTGTCCAGAATGTCCTTTTTTACATTTTTTTTACCTTTTCAAACCAGTGGCAAATACATATTGGAAAAAAATCTTGCATACTGAAAAACCTCGAAAGAAATACTTTATCGTGTACTCTTTTCGTTGCAAGTTTCTTTTCTTTGATCTTAATCTATTTTCAATTGTACGTAAGAGAGCATTTAAAGCTTCTTTCAAGACCAAGTGATGGTGATTGACTCCCTCATTACAATGTGAATTTAATTCGGTACAGTCTAACCTACTACTTAATATCACGTTCTTTGGAAATTTGGACACAGTTATTATTACATCCACAACCAGTGTCTAAGAATTAGGCGTGGGTTAAATCGTCTAGGGATAATGGATCATCTTCTAGTTAAATATCACCAATTTGCCTCTCTTTGAAAGACTCACAAGTAGTAAACTCGATGTCACACGATAATTCTGTATCCCGTTGAATTTTGAACTCCGAATTAAAACTTTCATAGTCTTCATGTCTCTACAGACGCTGAATAACTAAACTCTGAAAACAAAACGTTAAAATACAGAATTCTACACAAGTTTTTCTTCATATTATGTCTATGACATATCTAATACAACTCATTATTTGGTATTAGAGCCCTTGCTGTAGTGATAAAGAATATGAACTATTGCATGCATACAACGATCACGTCGATCTTTTTTGATTTTACACAAAGCTCGACTAACTATCCTAGCAAAATCGTAACACTCATGTATTTCATCTTCACTTATTGCTTCTGTATTAGTGCTTTTTTCATAATTTTGATCCGTTTCATCGGTGACTGATGTCAACTCCGGGAAATTAATTTCAAACTTGTAAGTACCTGGAGGTTTAACAGTCTCTTCTTCTGATGGTAATTCCGCGTTGTTGCGGTCGAGGCCAAAACAGGAGGTGTGTTTACTTCTAATGCCATAGAAAGTGGTACGGGCCCATCAGAATGCTTGCTTTCGTTTACTTAATACTATCATCTATCTTCGATTTAAAGATCACTCTGTCGCCTCAGAGAACGTTCCCACTTCCGGATGTCGGTTCGACAGAAAACCGGCTGCTCTAGTGGCAGAACATTTTATATGAAGCTGTTCACACTTATGCGACACCGTATTTTTGTAGTCGTCCACAAGATTGTCAGTCCACAAGGTGTTTTGCCCGTAGCCCAGCCCTCTACGTCCGTACTCCGTAAAAAACTCGCGTCGAATCTCGTTCGCCTATAAGTACGCCATACCACAGAATAAATAATAGGCCATACTGGCCTCTTAATTATTCTGTGGTATGGCGCTCTTTAATAATGACGGATCTCGGGCCTGGCAGCATTTACGTCAGAGAGGACATCTGTTCTCGACGCCTCGGCAGTCTTGATGGTTCGGACCTGTCCTTATTCGGCTACGCGTAGACAGCGACGACCATCCGCGCATCTACGGGTGCCTTTATAGGTCCCATAGCGGTAATGCCGAAACAGACCGACTCTTCGACCACGTCCAAATGGCTGCAGATTCGTTGCTACAGCAGATCCCCTCCGCAGAGATCGTGATCCTCGGCGACTTTAACGCCCATCACGCCGAATGGCTCGGTTCACGTTTAACCGATCATGCGGGGAGATCTGTTCATGATTTTGCCTTGGCATATGGTCTGACACAACTGGTTACTTCGCCTACGCGGATTCCAGATGTGGAGGATCATGCACCTTCCCTGTTGGACCTTCTGCTGACCTCTCACCCGGACGGATATCAGATTTCCGTCGACGCCCCTTTAGGCTCCTCGGACCATTGTCTTGTCCGGAGTGTGGTGCCACTCACGCTGAAATCGCGGTTGCATTCTGCAGGCTGCCGCCGTGTTTGGCACTATAGGTCAGCCGATTGGGATGGGATGCGGTCTTTCTTTGCATCCTACCCTTGGGGGCGGGTTTGCTTCTCGCCGGATGATCCCAACGTTGTTGCGGATTCTGTCGCTGATGTGGTACTTCAGGGTATGGAACTTTTTATTCCTTCCTCTGTGGTGCCCATTGGAGGCAAATCTCAGCCATGGTTTGGTCGCTCCTGTAAAATAGCATCATGCTATAAGCAGGAGTGCTACCGAGCCTGGGCTGACGCTTCAGCGTCCAGGGATGTAAACACCAGCGCTCTAAAAAAGAAGTATAATTCCGCCTCTAGGTCCTTCAAAAGAGTCATTGCCAAGGCAAAGTCAGAGCACATAGGCAGAATTGGCGAGAGACTAGTTCGTCTTCCTTCTGGAACCCGTGCATTCTGGTCTCTCGCCAAGGCTGCCCAGGGGAATTTCTGTCAGCCATCTCTTCCATCTCTGCACAGGGAGGACGACTCACTGGCCCACACCGCAAAGGAGAAAGCCGATCTTCTAGGCTCTTTCTTTGCGTCTAACTCGACTCTCGATGACGGGGGGAGTACGCCGCCGACCATCCCGCGGTGTGAGTGCTCCATGCCGGAAGTGCAGTTCACTCAGCGCTCGGTTCGCAAAGCACTCCTCTCCCTGGACATCTATAAGTCGAGTGGGCCTGATGGAATCCCCCCAATTATGCTGAGGACGTGTGCTCCAGAGTTGGCACCGGTTTTAACGCGTCTTTTCCGGTACTCCTACTCCCTAGGCGTAGTCCCAAAATCATGGAAGACGGCTTTCGTCCACCCGATCCCTAAAAAAGGCGACCGCTCAGACCCGTCCAACTACCGGCCTATCGCCATCACCTCCTTGTTCTCCAAAACAATGGAGTCCATTGTAAACTGCCAGCTCATGAGGTACCTTGAGGATCACCAACTGATTAGTGACCGCCAATACGGTTTTCGCCGTGGTAGGTCAGCTGGTGATCTTCTGGTCTACCTAACTCACAGATGGGCGGAGGCAGTAGAGTCCAAGGGGGGAGGCATTGGCCGTTAGTTTGGACATTGCGAAGGCCTTCGATCGGGTTTGGCACAAAGCGCTTCTTTCGAAGCTCCCTTCCTATGGGCTTCCCGAGAAATTGTGCGATTGGATCACCAGTTTTCTTGCAGATCGGAGCATCAAGGTCGTTGTAGACGGTGCAAGCTCCGATTGCAAGCTTATTAATGCTGGTGTTCCACAGGGCTGCGTGCTATCGCCAACGCTGTTTCTTCTGCATATCAATGATATGTTGCAAACCCGTAGCATTCATTGCTATGCAGATGACAGCACTGGTGATGCTCTTTACACCGGCCGAGCCAATATTTCTCGGGAAAACGTCTCTGAGTGCCGGGACAAACTTGTGTCTGAAGTCGAGTCTCTGCTGGACAGAGTCTCGGATTGGGGGCGACTAAATCTAGTCCAGTTTAACCCCCAGAAGACACAAGTTTGCGCGTTAACCGCTAAAAAGAACCCCTTTGTCGTATCCCCTCAGTTTCAAGGCACTCCCCTTGTTGCCTCAGCCAGTATCGGAATCCTCGGCGTCGACATATAGAGTGACGTGCAGTTTCGTGGTCACTTGGAAGGGAAGGCCAAATTGGCCTCTAAAAAGCTTGGCGTGCTCAGCAGAGCGGGACAGTATTTCATGCCGGCACACCGCCTGCAACTTTACAAGGCGCAGGTTCGGCCGCTCATGGAATACTGTTCCCATCTCTGGGCTGGGGCTCCCCAGTACCAGCTCCTTCCACTTGACCGCATCCAGCGCAGAGCGGCTCGAATCGTCGACGACCGAGTGCTTTCCGATCGGCTTGACTATCTGGCGCTGCGAAGAGATGTTGCATCTCTTTGCGTATTTTATCGCATCTATCACGGGGAGTGCTCTGAGGAATTGTTCGGATTAATCCCAGCCGCCAAATTTCGTGAACGCACTACACGGCAAACGTCCCGATATCATCCACACCATCTGGATGCTTGGCGGTCCACCACTGTACGTTTCAAAAGGAGTTTTCTTCCGCGTACAACCTCTCTGTGGAATAATTTACCACCGGTGATTTTTCCGGACCGATACGACCTGGGGACCTTCAAGAAAAGAGCTTACTCCTTTCTAAAGGGCCGGCAACGCACCTGCAATTCCCCTGGTGTTGCGGTTGATCATGGGCGGCGGTAGTCACTTAACATCAGGTGAGCCACATGCTCGTTTGCCCCCTCTTCTATAAAAAAAAAAAAAAAAAATATGTCGGTGCGGACGCAGAGTTATTGCAATGTTATTATACCCACGTTTGGTATTTGGTAACAATCTAAAAAATAATACAAATCCTGAAGATTTGATCAAACTAATTGTGTCACCTTTGGACAAAAAGTTTTCTATACTTGGCTTTTTTCTTTCTTTTCTTTTAAAATAATACATCACAACAAAAGCTACGTCGACGTCCATCGTGTATCGCCTCACATAGACTGCCAAAAAATGGCTTCAACTTCGATCGGATGCGACAACCGACTAGTGTGAACAGAGGCGCCGACACCCGATAAAAATACGCAACCCGACACCCGACAAGTGGGAACTAGCTTTCATACGTCACGTTAGAAAATTGGGGTAGTCGGTTCTTTAATGGCGCTAATACAATGAGCACAATTTGAAGAAAGAAGAAGCGATCGCTGTGGAAATAGGTTTCTAAAGTGCTAGAGAAACATTTTTTTTCCATAGTCCATTTATCACAACGTTCATTCATTTCAATGTTTTATTTTTTATTTAAACAGAATCGGTTTATTGTGTAAATTTAGGACTAAATATAGCCAGTGTTTTTCTGTAATGATCGTCTTTTATTTTCTGCCTGATCAGAAACTACTAATCACATGATATTTTTAGGTTTGAGCAACCCAGGAATTAGCCATAAAAGTATTACATAATGCCTACTCATTTAATATGCAACTTGGTCCTTGCCGCTCGACTAGGAGGAATCCTATAACGCCGTTATTCTTTTTACTTCGTTTACTTTGCGGGTCTTCACCTCTGAGCGTTTTCCTTTTTTTCCGCAATATAAATATAGTAGAGGCCAATCCAAACCTCCATACTCTGTAAGATTACGGAGCGTATATTGAATTCCAAGAACAGAATGACCTCAGTGACCGCCAGTACGGGTTTCGCCGAAATCGGTCAGCTGGGGACCTTCGCTAGCTTATGCTACGCACGTATGGGGCGGGGTACTCAAGAACGATGGGGAAACATTTGCTGTTTTCCTTTGATGTCTCGAAGGCCTTTGACAGAGTTTGGTACGCTAGTTGTTTGGGTAAGCTTTCTGCGTACGGCTTATCCCATGGCCTGATTTACTGTGGTAAAGGAGTTTCAGAGTGAAGTGTCTCTACTGGTCGTCGTCGATGGCTGCTCATCCGATCCTGTGGAGACTAACGTCGGTGTTCCTCAGGAGTCCGTTCTCTTTGCAACTCTCTTCCTGCTGCATATTAATGATCTGCTTATACGGTATATGCTATGGGTATGCAGAGTGTGATACTTTGTAGTTTATACGCGCTTAATTTATATAAGAATTTGGCTGCAAAAGCACTTATGCTTTTTAATAATGTTGTGTAGGAGGATTATTGTTACCAATCTGGTTACATCTTTATAACTCCTTGTTTTTTAGGATAAATAATGTGCAGGAATGGCATAATTCTTCGCATGCGTACAGCAAGAGAGTGGAATACGTTGCCAGCTTCTGACTTTCCATCCGATTACAATATGGGTGTCTTCAAGGCAAGAGTGAATAGGCTTTTGTTAAGTCAGTGCGCTTCACCACCTTAGACTACATCACCACTCACCTCGCTTACGCTCGCTTAGAATAATAAAAAAGAGGTAACCGGATTGAATTTAAGTATCTACGAAAGGTAGGGAGCCGTGGTAGCTCAGATGGTTAACGCTCGCTAATCGCTATAAATATAACAGAACTCCAGTAGCCCGGGTTCAAATCCCACTGGCACCAATGAAATTGTTAATTGCATTTTAAGTGCTGATTTACCACGTGCTCGGCGGTGAAGGAAAACATCGTGAGGGAACTTGCATGTCCGAGGAATAAGAAAAAAAAAATATTTCGAAGACATGTGAAGTTCGCTAACACTCATTGGGGCAGCGCGGCGGACAGTTCCTTGCCCTAAAACCCTCTCAGAAATGAGGGGCGGCCTGTGCCCAGCAGTGGGACGTATATAGGCTGTAACTTTACTTTACTTTTATCTATTAAATTCTCCATGTAACTTGATTTTTAGAAATAAAAAATTGTAGGAAAAATGTTCAGTTACGGAAACTTGTTTTGAATACCAGCGTTATTTAGATTTGAGGGGATCAAAAAACCATTAATTTTTTTGTCCAATTTTTTCGAATAAAATATAGCCTAGATGACTCTTAGTATTGCTCTCTATCCGTTCGTGAAGTTTCATTGTAATCAGTTTAGCCACAGACGGACAAAAATTAAAACTGATGGTTATTTACATATTATGTCTCAACAGCATGCAAAGAATCCCACAAGATGAATATTACAGACGTATACTTCAATCTTATTTATACGTATTAATTTTAGATTAGCTTTTTGTGACTTTTGACTTTTTAATTGTTACCTATGCTGTATTATACATAAATCGTAAAATTACATTGGCATAACGTGATTTTGTGATTAGTATAATAATGTGATTTAAATTCCTTAGTTGGTAATAAATCGTAAAACTCTACGGTCAATGATGTCTAGGTATCTACGTCAGTAGCTGGTTCCAATTTATTTCGAGATAATTTTCATAAAAGTATATTTTAACATTGGTCATTAATATAATTATAATAATTTTATAAATATAAAAAGCAAACATCTATTCCTTACGTGTAATTTGGTTTGCTTTTTACGGAGTGAAAATGTAGAACACAATTATAATACTAAAAAACTAACGCTCCAAACGCTTATCAAATAACTGTCATTCACTTGTGCTTCTATTTGATGTTTAACCAAAATGATTTATACTTTTTTTAACTATAATAAGCTGGTACATGTATACTATCCCACCTGATGGTAAGTGGTCATGCAACCGAAGATTGCGCACTGACTTAGTTTAACAAATGCCTATTCACTCTTGCCTTGAAGACACAATAAATATTAATATTGAAATTTGTTAATTAGTTTTAATATGAAAAATCCAAAAAGGTATTATGACAGTAGACGGCGGAAAGGTGTAGTAGTGGTAGGGTTAGCTTGGCCGCCGGGCTCGGCCACGCTGCGCTCAACACACCTTATATAAATAAAAAGTGATCTGCCCATCGCACACAGTGTGTGCGACATGCTGCCCCCCAAGCGAGCCGTTCTGCGCTCCGTCTCCGCGGTCTTTAAATTTAAACGCTTGCTCCGGCGCACACACAGCACTTATTCCTTAGTACGTATCCGCCGACGTTCATTCATCGCGCCCGCCTGCCGCCCGCCCTGCCGCTTCACTCCAAATAGTGACCGCCCAACGTGAAACGTCACACGCGAGACGGCCCGTAATCCCCGTCCCGCAGCTTACTCACTAGTCATCACGGTCGCAAATCTGTCACAGGACGTGTCGCGGTGCGCTCGTGTTATTATGCGGGAATCATTTATAAAATGTCCCTCCCGCCAGAACCGCTGCAACCTTCTCGAAGCGATGAAGAGTACGTGCACATCAGATGTCTTATCGCTAACATACATAAGCCTAAGAATGTTTCAAGGCCGCCGGTCACGCCGTTGGAAAAAGCTGCTCTCGAGGCGGTTCAGGAATCCTCAGGGTCATCGGATACGGAGCGAAGTGGTTCCGGCTCAGAAAGATCTGAGATTAGTGTAGTAGAAGAAGGTCCTCCAACACGCCGAGAGAAAAGTAACAGCTACGCGGGTCCGATGCTTGCACCACCGGTACTGCGCCATCACAAGCGGCGGCGGTGTTCGTTCTTTCACCTACAAGTGGGAGGCGGCAGTGCGGAGCACTCGGGTGCTCAGTCCGCCGGTCCACACTTCAACGTGCCACGCTTCACAGTCACGGCGCCGCCTGGCGAGCACCGGCGCTTCAGCCATGGCTTCCCATTCCATGGTTTCGCTCTCCGGCGACATTCCAACACGGTCTGCGTAGATATTTTTCCAGTGTGAAACCGCTTTATTAAAACCTTGTCCAATAAATGTAATTGTTTGTTGTGATTTTTATAAATAACGTTCTAAATAGTTTACAACGCATGCATTATTCAGGTTACGGCCCGTATATTTTCTAAGAAATGATAAACAGCGAAATAGCAAAAGATAATGATATGAAAGTATGTTTTTAAAGTTCCGATGCATAATTAATTTACATTCGATATATTTTCGTAACATAAATTATATCTTGTCTGCTTTGATTGAAGTGAATTTTCAATTAAAAGAGAAAAGTAGTTATATTTTTAAGAATATTTATTAAGGGAGATTTAGATTAGCAACAAAACTTGCAGAAGTTAATTTCTGCAAGCTATTCGTACCGTGAAAACAATCACATCAAGCTCACTTTCACTCAAGTTTTGTAACTTGCAGGACTTGCCGCAAGTCGCAAGTCTAAACACTATTTTGAAACTTTTGGCAATAACTTGCGGTTTATTTTGCTTGCAAATAAAAGTTTAAAGTTGCTAGCAAGATGTCAGGCAAAAAAGTTGGGACGCAGGATGAAAGTGTGCGGATAATAGAGAAGTGTGAACGATGCAGACAATTATGGGATACGAAATGTTTATGCAGTTTAAAAATTTCATTCTGACGAAAATTTTAAAATTTTAAAATTCTTCGCATCTGAGTTCTTTTAATAGATGGTTGTGGAATTCTTAACCATTCTATCTTTCCTTTTCTTTTTATTAGATACTACTACTATAGCAGCAGCACGTATTTTTCTACAGCTTGGCATGATGATTGATTTCAACTCTCTGAATTTGAATCCTCTGACTTGCATGTAAAATATGTTGCTCGTACTAGTGTAAACTCTTTTCCAAGTACTTAAACAAATTAGTTTGCAGGCCGCTTGCAGAAGCAAATTGCGATAGTAATATTGCTGGTAGTGTAAACGGTTCTGCAAGTACTTGCGGAATACTTGGCAGAAGTTCTTGCTAATCTAAACCCCGGTTTATGTTTAAAGACACGTCATAGGATCAAACATTTTGACGTATAGAATTAATAAAGCTACCTTGTGATATCGTTATCATTATAATATCTATGAATAATTTTCACAATGAACATTGTGAATCGTGTCAAGCAAACGTTTGCGTGTTGTGTTGATTAGGCTGCTCAATTATTTCAAATTTTTGCTATTCAAAGTTTAATAACTAAATCAAAATGAGGCGTTGGACACAGCAACGACGTGAGGTGTTTAATATTTAAATATTAACATTGTTTTCCTACATTTTGATGTAGTATCTTTGGCGTTAGCTGGAAAAATATGTGTTACCTTTATTTAACTTGTACTAATAAATTTGTTACGCAGGCGTTACTCAAACTTCTGACGTACACTTAAAACTTTTTAAACTATTTGACTCTTATGGCCGAACAAAAAGTATATTTTGGTTAATTTTGAAATGACATACATAAGTACTTATAATTTTAATGTACCCTTTGTCTCAAATTGTTAAAAATATACCTCATAAACACTTCATTGAAAAAATTGTCCTTCCTGCTCCACAAAATGTGTTGATGAGATTTATGAAGTCGATATAATGTACAGTTGAACATTATAAATGTTTACATATATTTTTTTCATTGTTGTCACAGAGCCTCCACCGCAGCGAGTCGATGGTGTCACTGGCGTGCTTTAAGACGCTCTCGCAATTGGTGAACAGCGATGACACGACGGAGCTTCAACAGTATCTGGCCAATAACAAGAACGTCAATGTTGACGACAAAGACGAGGTAATCTTAGAACATTGTACCTATATGAAAATTTCTTTATAAGCATAAATCTAATCGCCTAATTTAGGCTACATTTAGATATTGGCGGTCAAAGGAATAAAGAATTGAATTGAGAAAATGGAAAATGGTGATTTTGTAAGAGATAGTTTTTTGATAACTATCTTATAACAATAACTCAGCAGCATCAAGCTACTATTTTACGCTGGTATTCTGTGAGAGCGTGGTTCTTCCCGATGCCATGAAAGCCGACCCATCCGTGCTACTATTATAATTAGAGATGGGCCGAATATGGATTTCACCGAATACGAAGCAAATTGAAGCTAATTTTTTTACTATTTTTGTGAGAATAAAAGTATTTCGTTGTGTTATTCTTATTGAAAATTGATAAGTATATGATGAAATTATGTGGCAGAATATCTACTACTTGGACCTATTTTAGAGAAACTGACGACTGTAATGTAATGTTTCTTTGTTTGATTTCAAAAACATTTTATCAAGCTTTCTATTTGCTATAATTGGAGACAAATCTACAGTGCCTCAAAAACAGAACGAAAGTCTATACAAGTAGATTTAACCCATAAATAAAATATACTTTCAACAGTAAAATTATGAAAGACATGACTCTTGACATTACTTAATTCGTACATTTCAATACAGTGAACACTTCGAGTACCACTGTAACGAATGTTTAGTGATTTAGTTGAACATTCGGCGGAATACGAATATTCGGTATTAAAGCTGCCGAATATACCGAATACCGAATATGAAACGAATATTCGGCCCATTTCTAATTATAACATAGCTGCCTGTAGCAGGAGATACCACGTACAAATTGAATGAACAGTAGTCATATTATGTATTTATATCGTCACCGGTAATAACAACTATGTGAATTATCATCATAGTGACTGTGTTACTTAATACACAGGGCTACAGATTAAGTACGACCCAGATCCTTTGAGGGGTTGTAGTTTCCATCATTACCGTCTGTTTCGACACCATGCCCCAAACTTAACCGTTTTCAAGATATTGGATATTTAAGTATTTTTATAAAAAATGCCAATTTTTTGTTCATTGTACTACTTTTTGTAGTTTTTGCATCTAGTTTTATTGAAGTTAAAACTTCTTTAGCTGCGTTGTACACTTTTTTGTAATGGATAAAAAATGTTTAACTCGCGTCAGGACACGTGACCCTGATTGAAAATTCGTAAGACGGATGGAGAGAGAGAGAGACAGACGGCGCGCGGCGTAGGAGAGGAAGTATCCCCCTCTCTTTCTATGGCGCGGCGAAAATGTATGCCTGCGCCTGCTTTTCGTAGGCGGCGCAGGCGTTGCGCGAATGTTCGTGTGTGACAATTAAAGCAATTCGTGCAAAATTATTCCCTAATCATTCCAAAATATCAAAAATGCACAACGTTAATATTCAAGTTGTCACTTCTGCCGGCACTCCCGGAGTGCATCCCGTCGTTTTTTTATGGTTTTTGTGTAGTTGATAAGTTTTTTATTATTTCTAACACTAAGATTTTAGGTAAATAAACAATGTAGGTGTTGTAGATAGGTGTTGTAGGTGTAGTAGATGATTGAAAGTTGAAAAAAGAAATGAATTTGGATTAAGTATTTTTTTCTTTGAGGAATAATTAACAAAAAAAATGGTAGTTATGTTGCAGATGTATTTAAAAATATCTGCGTTTCTTCAGCTATCTAACAAGGTATAACAGACTTGGGTAGGGTATTACCAGAATTCCTAGAAAAAAATTAGTTAAAAGGATCACAGATTGTATTTAAAAAAAATCTTAACAAAAATATTAATCCTAACCAGAAGGTTAGGATTAATTTTATTAATATTTTATTTGACTTAATCTTTTATTTCACGTTGAACGAAGGACGAAGAAAACTCCTCCTTTTACCCTGGAGAATGTGGAAGCTCAATCCTATTCTCCTATCTACTCTGCTACCGTCTATTAGGTTAAACAACGTGTGAGTGTAGTAACCCTAGTGATTACATTAAATGAATCTAAGACGTGTTCCATTACTTATAGTCGTTGAGGAAATTCAATGTCACTCAGTGAGCTATGGAGAGACCCATGCTCGGAGACTCTCTACGTGATTAAATTCGTAATGAGGATAACCCCAGTAGAACCAGAGTAACTGATATACACAGACATGAAAATGCTTCTTATTCATAGATACTGGTAGATACTAGTATAAATTTATACGAAATAAATGGTATTTTGAGTAAACATTAAAAAAATACTACCACTAGAATGGCACGACGGCGCTCATGTGCGCGGCGGAGAGCGGGCGCACGGCGGCCGCTCGTTTGCTGCTGGCGGCGGGCGCGGACGCATGCGTGGCCGACGCGGACGGCTGGACGTCTCTGGCCTTTGCCGCGCGCGGAGGCCATCTTCCCGTAATGAGAGACCTGCTTGACGCTGGCGCTGTAGTTGACTCCAGGGACTGTGTGAGTATTCCGATATCTTAACTTCCTACGTCTAGGTTTTTTTTATAGGATAGGGTGACAAAGGAGCACACAGTCCACCTGATGGTAAGTGGTTGCTGTGGCCCATAGACATCTACATCTGTCCTCGATTACGAATCAAAATGCAGATGCGTTGTCACCCGTTAGGTGGAATACCTCGTTTCCAGTTGTAGCGGCGCTGTCGTCGCGCCACTAGCACACCGAAACACACCGAAGCCTAAATCGCGCTATTAACATTCCGAATCATAGACAGTATATATAGAACTTCTCCGAACCTATATATCACCCGGAGCGTTGGCCACTCTCCGAGCAGAACACCTTGCCCGGCGGGAGATCTCCTCTTCTTACTTCGACAGTAATCAGTCGGCTCCGACACTCCGAGTGATAGTTTGGAGAAGTTCTATATATACTGTCTATGATTAGGAATGTTAATAGCGCGATTTAGGCTTCGGTGTGTTTCGGTGTGCTAGTGACGCGACGACAGCGCCGCTACAACTGGAAACGAGGCATTCCACCTAAGTCCTCACGGGTGACCGCTACAATAGTAAAAAGCGTCTCCAGTTCTCTACACTCACCATACGAAACAGCAGCATTAAGCTACTATTTGACGCTGGTATTCTGTGAGAGCGTGGTCCCTCCCCGGTTGAGCCGACCCATTCCTGCTACAACTATATACTATTAATATAACTGCGGCATGGCTCTACCACGTAAAAAAAGGTGCCACCTTCTTCCTCAATTTGTGTACAACCACTATTATATACCCGTTACAAGATTATGGAGAGCCCGTACGGCATTCCCTCTGAGTATTAAGAAACGGCAACGCATCTATCTCCTAAGGTGTTTAGAGTAGGCTACAGATGTGTACGAGCTGCAGTAACATCTTGTGGCACATTCGCTCGTCTATCACTTCAATGTTATGTCACTGTATCCCGAAACCGTGTTGATCAGACACTATTTAAGTTAAAGATTCGCCCTCTGTTGTAGTTGTTTATTTTATCTCATCTTTGTTTTGTATGCTACTACGCTAACGCTACTTCCAGAGGTGTTTGTGAGGGATAAGTTACTGCTACTTACTTACTTACTACGTCCTCCTCAAGTACATCGTCTATCAATCTAAAGTTGACTTGAAATTTTATACTGGAGTTTGCTGCAATCTAACCTAAATTTAATGGAGCAATGACTCGACTGTGCACCCAAAATATGTATATTTATAATACACATGGAGCTCTGCCAAGATGTCAGTGACATCCATACATACTAAAATCTGGTTAAAATATACACCAACAGTGACACATAGAGTACTTCTTTCATAAACAGTATATTTATAGAAAAGTTCCCTTTATTACCGCCCCGCGGTGCCATAGCTTCGTTCCTGTTTTTATTTCAGACACTGATGACAGCACTGATGATAGACGCCTGAAGGCCGATGCATTGACAGACTATTTGCATGTTAAAACCCATATATTTATTTGTTAATATATAACAACTTAGTGAAATCCAAAAACAAGTTCAACCGTTACGTTTTAATGAAAATGAAAAAGAAAACAGATATTAGAGTTTTATTGATGCTTAAAATACTTAAAAGAAAATCTAGTTAACCATAACAATATATATGCGCATAAATTAGTTACTAATAATACAGTTAACAGCTCTTGAAATCCAAAGATGTGTAACTATATGGGCGTCATAAATTGTAAATTGTAACTCATAATCACATCAGCAAAAAAACACTTCATTTAAAGAAAGATCAAGTAAAAAAGTATTTTCAATTTAATGTTCCATAGTTTAATAAAGGTGAATTTCAAAGAAATTAAAAGAATGATACAAGATACAAGATATTTATTAGTGGAAACATGAGTAGAAACACAAAGCATGCAGGTTGTTCAGATACGTTAAATAGGTCAATCATGTTTGGCCTTTGTGGCGTGCAAACGCTACAGTTGAAAATTAAATTATTATTAACACATTATCTAATGAAACTATTATTAAACTAATTTTAACAATTTTATCGGTAAAGCTAAATAATAACTTGAAATTAAATGACTGGTAATATTATTTGTTATTTAGGTATGTTATATTTTATCTGCAATACAATGTCAGTAATAAAATTGCTTGTTACATATAAGATTTTTATCATTTAAAAATTCTAATATGCTATAGCATGCTTTGTCTTCTAAATATAATTTCAACTTATTTTTAAATACACGGGCATTCTGCTCCTTTCAGCCTTTCGGAAGCTTATCATATATTGCATATGCATGCAGAAAACAATTTTTCGCATCAATGAAGTTTTTGAGCGATGCAAACAGAGAATAGTGTCATCGCGTCTATTGCGACTAACTACGTCTGATAAACGTGCAAATAAGTGCCGTTTACAGTTAACAAACATGGCAATATCTGAAATGTATAGAGATGGTAATTTCAATATTTTATATTTTATAAAATAGGGTTTGCAGCTATCAGTTGACTCCAGTTTAAACATGGTTCTAATACATCGTTTTTGTCATTTGAAAAGTAATTCCTTGTCAGAAGATAATCCCATATCTTAGATGCGATGAAACTAAGCTATGGTACGCTGTAAGCAACGCATTAATGTTAAGCATTGGAACTAATTTGTACAGGGCATATGACGCACCTCTTATTTTTTAGTAAATTTAGTTAGAATTTCAATGTGTTCTTTCTAATTCAATTCTTTGTCAATTGTCACCTCGAGGAATTTGGCAGTGTTGACTTCTTAAATCATTTTGTTATTACCTAGGCTGTACTAAAAGTATCGGGAATGGAATATTTCCACTGTTCCCGTCATATTAAAATCTTTTTAATTGAAAACTCCTTGGTTTTAAAAATCGAATACCATTTATTTATTTAAAAAAAAGATTCTCGGTCTTGTCACAAGGTTTTGTCAAACTTGTTTAGTCGTTGAGAAAATGGAATTGACTCGAGAAAATTAAAGAGCGATGATTTATTATGACTTTCGAAGTGGTTTAACACAACAACAGTGTGTTGACCGGATGATTTCTGCATTTGGTGATGAAGCCCCATCCAAAACCACAATTTATCGCTGGTTTGCTGAATTTCAACGTGGACGTGTCAAGCTCAGTGATGATCTCCGTCAAGGTCGTCCAAAAACTGCAGTCACCCAATAAAACGTTGATGCTGTGCGTAAGCTGATTGAGGAAGATCGAAATGTGACATACCACGAAATTCAGGCAACTTTAGATATTGGCATGAGTCAAATACAAATAATCTTGCATGAACAATTAGGTGTAAAAAAGTTGTTTTCCCGATAGATACCGCATTCGCTCTGTGAAGAGCAAAAAGCGGCTCGCGTTACTTGGTGCGTCTGAACTCTCGAAAGATTCCACGCAGGATCCTCAAATGCTGTATACAACATCATATCAGATGACGAATCCTGGATATATGCGTACGAACCCGAAACAAAAAACCAGTCACGAGTTTGGGTGTTCGAAAATGAATTAAAGCCAACAAAAATTATTTGTTCACGGAGTGTTGCAAAAAATGGCGGCCACGTTTGTCAAAACCAGCCATGTTACGACTATTCCTCTTGAGGGACAAAGAACGGTTAATGCAGAATGGTATGCTAGCATTTGTTTGCCACAGTCGTTTCTGAACTCCGTAAAGAGAACTGCAAGCGCCGCATCATCCTCCATCACGACAATACGAGTTCTCTCACCGCACACAGAACAAAAGAGTTTTTAGAGCAAGAAAACATAGAATTATTAGACCATCCGCCTTACAGCCCCGACCTAAGCCCTAATGAATTCTACACTTTCCCTAAAATAAAGAATAAATTACGTGGACAGAGATTTTCATCACCTGAAGAAGCTGTGGACGCCTACAAAACGGCCATTTTGGAGACCCCAACTTCCGAATGGAATGGTTGCTTCAATGATTGGTTCCATCGTATGGAAAAATGTGTCAAATTTCGCGGAGAATACTTCGAAAAGCAATAAATACATTTTTAAATAGTAATATTATGTCACTTCCTTGATTCCTGAAATTTTCAGTGCCGCCCTCGTATATTGGAACTTAAGATTGGTTAGAGTTGATAAACTTAGGCTGAAATAACATAACTAGGTTATCTCTTTTTTCTTCACCGGGTATTCTGGGTATGGGCTTGCCTACTACTGATTTCTCAAGTTATTCGCATTTTCGCAAATTTATTTTTAAGTTATTATTATGACCATTTGTTATAACCATTTTACTATTGATACAGGTAAGATAATTATTAATATCGTTATTTAGCTATCGTTAGTATTCCATTGAATTGTAATGGTGCTATCGTCAGCAAAGAATGCTACTAGTTGATGAACGGATTTGACATAAACATAAAAACTCACGCCTGTCAGAGGCGTAGGCAGAGACTACAGACTTCCATTTGGCACGATCCTGACACACCTCTCTCGCCTTCTTCACATCCATACACCTACGCATACATGTTCGTCGGTTAAGGGTACTCCTAATTTGGTCCGTTTTCAATAAATCGCCAATTTGGTCGATAAATTTTCGCCTAGGACGTCCCTTTCCGACTCTGCCATTCACTTCTGCAACATAAATTTTCTTTGTCACTCTTTCCTCATTCATTCTTTCCACATGACCAAACCACCGAAGCATTCCTTTCTTAATCCTGGTCACAACATCATCTTGCAAACCACACTCTTCCCTTATTACACAATTTCTTACCCTGTCGTTCAGATTCAGCCCTAACATACTCCTTAACGACCGCATTTCTACTGCGTTGATTCTACTCTCGTGCTTCTTCTGCCACACCCAACTTTCACTACCATACGTTAAAGTAGGGACCAACACAGCATTGTAAATTGCCGTACGTGCCTTTTTCGATACATTTTGACTTCCCGCACTCACTCGTTGTTCTATATCCTTATCATATCTCCCATCCCTGCTAAATACGCAGCCCAAATATACAAACTCATCTACTTGCTCGATCAACTCCCCTTCTATTCTTATTTCACAAATCGTTTTACTTTCTTCTCTTTCAAAAAGCATAACCTTCGTCTTACTTGCGTTTACTTTCACACCTCTTTCTTTAAATGATCTGTTCATTAATGTAACCATCATTTGCAACTCGGCCGCCGACGACGCAAGAATAACTTGATCATCGGCGTACAAAAGGCATTTGACGGTTAACTCACCCATTCTTAATTCGCATTCTTCAATTTTCAAATTTTGCAAACAACTGTCCATAAATAGGTAGAACAGCCACGGTGAAGCCACACAGACCTGTCTGACACCTTTATGGATGTCAAACCAGTCCGAGTAGACCCCGTTGATCCTAACACAAGCACTAGAGTCCCTATAAAGAGACTCCAATGCCTGTATCAAGCCAGCGTTCAACCCAAATGAGTTCAGTGTTTGCCATAGCACATCCCTATCCACTCTGTCATATGCCCTTTCCAAGTCATGAACGCACAAAAATCCTTTTGGTTTTTGGCCAAAAACTTCTCCGCGCATGGAAAAGACTTGATATATACATCCCATTCCCTTTCTAAATCCCGCTTGCACATCCCAAATTTTTCCATCAGTTTCTTTCATAACTCTTTCAATTAATATCTTAGCATACAGTTTTCCCACAATGCTAAGAAGGCTGATGCCACGGTAGTTTTTACAGTCCTGCTGCGACCCTTTTCCTTTATATACTGGGACTATCACGGCTTTGCATCAGTCTACCGGTACCCGCTTCAGTTCCCAGCATAAATTAAACAAGGTGTGCAGCAGGCCTGCCACCACTTCCTCTCCAGTCCTTAGCATTTCGAGTGATACTCTATCATATCCGGCAGCCTTACCTGCTTTCATGCTTTTCATTGCTTTCATTATTTCATCTATACTTATCTCGCTACCTCTTTCCTCTTCTTTCGGAGTTTCTACTTCACTTAGTACACACGTTGTCTCCTCACTCATAAACACACTTTCAAAATATTCCTTCCATCTCTTTAAACTCAAAACTTCATCATTCAGAATATGCTAACTGTACTAATAAATACTAATGTACGGATTTGAATAAGTCGTTTATATACAATAAGAATAGTAGGGGGCCTAGCACACTTTCCTATGGAACTGGACTAAACATAAATATTCAACTAAAAGAACTACTCTATCATGCGTTTGGAATATTTTATTTATTTAACTTCATATACACATTAAATGTATATTGGCGGACTGAATGCCCAAGGCACTATCTACCAGTCTGCCTTAGAGTACAACGGTTAACTATAAACGCTAAGTTGTTTCTGCCGTTTTATTGACGAGAAGTTCTCGCAATTTGGACTTGAACAAAACCCAATATTAATATTATATAATCCAATATAATAATAGGAATATTTCTTCATATTTAGTTTTTGTATTTATTGAGGCTATTTCAGTGATTCGCTTTCTGCCGTATAGATATAATTGTATTAGTTTTAGCAAGTTACCTCGAATCCCATAGCCCTCTCAAATATCGTGCCGAACATAATCGAATGCCTGGGTCATGTCACAAAAAACTGATAGGTTTGGTTTTATTCACGTTGATTGTGACTTTATATAAGAAATCGTAGATTGCCATGTTTATAGTTCGGTTTTCTAATCCTTTTTGCTCGTTTACTAGTATGTTATTTTTTAAAGGTACTTACTTAATTCCTTGTAGATATATTTTTCATAAATTTTGGAGATAATACTAATAAGCGTAATTGGTCTGTAATATTCCATGGCTTCTCTATTCTCTTTTTTAAAAATGGGTTTTACGATTGATTTTTTAAGCAATCTGGAAAAATATCAGTAGTTATGGTTAAATTAATGAGGTGACTTAAATGTCTACATATTTCTACATCAACAGATTTAAGAATTTTCGTGGAGATTCCTTCATGGCCCACGCTGTTCGTGTTTTTAATGTATTTATTATTTTAGCTACGTTATGTGGCAGACAAGCGGCATAAAAATTGATTTAAACTAGGTATTTGAAATTTGTTAGGTAGCCTTATTTCCTGAGTCTAATATTGGGATAACTTTTTCAATAAAATTATTATTAAAAGCATTGGATACTTTCTGTGGGTCTGTTAGTCTCGTTGTTTAACTTATTTTTGGAATAGCGTTTCACGGAACGTTATTCTTAGAGTTATTAAATATATTCCAACTAGTTTTGGATTTGTTGTTTGATGTTTTTATTTTATAACTGTTTTGTGAATATTGTGTAAGCTGAATAATTTATTAAAATAGTTTAGAGTAAGTACCTAATTAGTAAGTTTTATTTTATTTGTTTCACTAGGATTTCATCTATATTGACGCAGAAGATGTCGTTTCTTTTTGCTGCATATTGTGACGCCGCTTGATACCCACTTTGTTTTTTTTGTGTAGTATGTATGATTACAATTTTATGAGGAAAGTATAAAATGTAAAAAAGAGAAAATTTTTCTATAAAAGCATTATAGGCTATGTTAGGATCACTTGTTTGATATACTTTCGAAAAAGATAAACAACGTAAACAATTTTTAAATTTTGTACCGTATTCTTTGTTGTCATTACGCCTACATTCATGCGCCAGTATTTAATAGAGCCAGGTTCTTGAACGGGTAACTTTATTAATTGCGCTGTGTGGTCTGATAATGCAAATTCTAATATTTGTATCTTACAGGATTTTCTACAGTTATGTGCAATATTATCTATGTATATTTGACTTTTCAGTCTAGTGGTTTAATTTACAGATAACTCGAAATTTTGATTTAACATTAGGCATTCGTAATTTATTGTTTGTAAATTTTCTTTTAAGACATCCAGAAACAGAAACAGAAATAGAATTTTTTTTATTCAATGTAAATTATAAACAATACTTATTCAAAGTCACTTTTGTCATTTACCACTGTTTCGCAAAAAAACATCTGTCCTGGGAAGAACCAGTAAGAAACCCAGCGAGACTATTTTTTTTTCAAATAATAGCTTACAATCATGTTTACAATTAACAACACAAGACAAATTAGAAATAGCTTGGTAGCGATCACCCCTTCCCAGGGGTTATTATCATCCATTAATTCCCTAAATATTATAATAACCTTTTTTATACAAACTTAGTTTAATAAAATTTTTGAACTTTGCGTATGACAAATTTTGTATATTTCTCTACATTTAAATCCCATGCTATGACAATATTTTTTAAGGATTTGCTTTTAAGTTCTTGCAAGACTACATGTAATGTTTCCATGCACACACTAAAGTTAATAGTTTTTGGAACTCTGTAAATACAAACAATAATAATCGTATAGCTAATTAATTCGATAGCACAGCACTCGAAGACGGCAGTTTCTGATATTTTAGCAATTTGTTTTATTTTCCTATACTGATGGCCATTTCTTGCTAATATGCACGCTCCTCCTCTTTCGCTTTTTGATTATTAATTAGGTATAGTTAGATATCTTTCATAGCCTTCCTGAGTAAAATGGTCTGTAATGCATAAGATGTCCACACACGATCCTCCTTCAGCCAGCTCTTCCAAGCACACTGACATTGAGTCTGATTTTGTTAGCAATCCGGCAAAATTTTGGTGCTTTATGTGTATACATTTAGTAACAGAAAAAAATTTGCTATTTTCTCATTATATGTGCTATTTTCAGTGCCATACGCCAAAACATTCACAACATTTGTTCTCGGCTTAGAAAGATCGTTCATGTGTCATTAATCTATGCTATCAATTAGCCATTTGTTTTATTTAATTAAATTAATGATGCATTGCCTATTGATTACTAATACACCTATAAACATGAAACCTAAATAATGAATCACTCTTTATTTTTGTCATTTAATATTATATAATTATCTACATAAATGTTGCAATAGATACTTCTGGATTATTATTTATCTAAGTGCTCGTAGTATTTATCATATTAATTTAAATATTCCTTTCATTAGGGTGGATGGACGCCTCTTATGTGGGCTTCATACAAAGGTCACGAGGAAGCGGTCGCGCTATTACTGGAAAAAGGTGCTGATGTCCATGCCCATGGAAATTATAATATCAAGTAAGTATTTGTTATTTCATTATAATGTACTTACATATTTTAGCTCTGTAGACTTACTATAACTTGAATTTTCAGTTGTTAACTACATAGTAAAGAATCTCAATAAAAGCAATATACATCAAAAAAAATTAGAAAACGTAAAAGCTACTTTTGCATTATTTTTGTTAAATAACTTTAATTATATTGAAAGCATTAATAAATTAGGCTTAAGCAGCTTAGCATTAATTTATTCCCTTGTTTTATTGACAATAAACTGTAAGTTACGACTGCGGTTCCTTCGTCTACTTGCATTCATTAGAATGTTACTTCCCGTGAAATCCCTTGTAAACTAGAGTATTAATTACACATAATTAGAATGGAATTTGCTGGAACGCCTGTAGTTATACTCGCTATCTATACTCATTAAACGGTATACAGCAGTGCATGCAGACAGACAGACAGACAGTTGTGTTGTCACCTATGGCAACTAAAGTAGACGGCCCCACAGCCTCTAACTATACTGGTTATTTATTAATAGTTAGTTATTAACCGGATCACAAAAGTACACGCACTGCTATTTGGCAACAGAAAAAGGTAAGATAACCAGATGGACGTAAAATAATTACGTACAGAATCCTAGTACGCACGCCGAAGTGAAGCAAGTAAAACTAACGCAAATTCGCGTAAGTTCACTGAGCGGTCCGTCAGCATTGAAGTAATTACTACTTACGTATAGCAATATAGTTCGATGTCCGTCAGTGCGCAATGTTTCAAAGTATGTAATATAGATATGTAAAGTGTGGTATTACGATTAACATTTTCGCATTTGAAAAACATAGCTAAATAGCTCAGCAGGCAACTCCTTGACTACGAAGGCGAAAGTCGTTGGTTCGAGCATCAGATTGATAAAGTATTTTTTCTTCTTTTTTTTAATTTTTTTATTTGAATGTGCAGTTCATCATAGCACTTTAAATATAAATTTGGGAAAATTAACAAAATAAATCATAATTTATTAAGTCTAAAAATATGTCAAAGATACAGCTGGACTGTTGCAACGAAGCGATAGACGATGAAGATTGCATGTGTTGTGCGAAATGTAAACACGGATACCACCGCGCGTGTTTGAAGTCGACCGGGCAGTTCAGCACAAATACAGAATCCACAACTGAGTGGATGTGCCCTGCCTGCACGTCAAGAAGGCCGAAAGGTAACAGCGAAAACACACCCGTGCGTAATAAAGACACGCTAGTTGGCAGCTAACAGAATGTCACGAAAAATCCTCTCAGCTAAATGATATACGGGAGATGGTGAGCAAAACAGTAAGGGCCGAAATGAAAGAAATGCTGACGCAGATGAGAACTTCTATAAAAAGCGTACTAAATAGTGAATTAAAAGTAATAAGGGGCCAATACGAGGATTTCTTGAAAGAACACCGTGCAAATCTTGCAGCTGTGAAGAATCGTAAAGAAAATAATACTAAATTAGAAGCGATAAACGCCCTTAACACACGGGTAAATGAGCTCGACCAGCGAACTAGATACAATAACTTGGAATTGCAATGTGTTCCTGAAAGGAAAAACGAAAATCTGATCAAAATCGTGGAACAGTTGGGCAGTGTCATAAGGTTAGATATAACCACCGACAAAATTACGAATGTTACGAGAGTTGCTAAGGTAAATCGTCAAAGTACTCAACCGAGATCTATCATAGGACAATTTAATTCTCCGCTAACCACTAGAGTAAAATTGAATACGTCACACATTGGAATCGGGCTAAGTGAAGAAAAACAACCATTTATATCATGGAACATCTGTCACCTGGGAATAAAGCTCTACATGCCGCAGCGAGACTTAAAGCTAAAGAAAAAGGTTACAAATATGTTTGGGTTTGAAATGGTCGTATACTGTTACGAAAGGATGATAATTCTGATTATAAAGTAGTTAAAAATATGGACTTTCTTAGTAACTTAAGTTAAAATGTAAGGTTGAGGTCACGCCATGGTGTCATAATGCTTAAAAGGCGCGTCGATTAATATGTTATACCAAAATGTTCGCGGAATTAGAACCAAAACCTAAGATGTTTACCGTAACATAATAATTAATAATTATGACATTATTATTTGACTGAAACCTGGTTAAATAGCTCAATCTCAAGTGGTGAACTATTTGATATACGTTATAACGTGTATCGAAGAGACAGAGAGACTGCAAAACTTAGTACTAAGTCTGACGGTGGCGGCGTTCTAATTGCTGTCAAGCAAAACATAATTTCAAATAGAATTAGTCTATGGGAAAGCGATTGTGAAGATTTGTGGGTGGTAGTAGATGTGCCCCACTTTAACAACATATGTCATATAGTTTTTTGTTGTATATACGACTCGTATATTCCACCTCCGGTAAATAAGAACATATTGAATATTTTTTTAAATAATTGTAATAGAGTTTCGGAGCAACACAATATGTTAACATGCATAATTGGCGACTTTAATCTTAGCTGTATTACCTGGAATGTATCCTCAAACTCTGCTAACTGTAACTTTCCCCCAGAAGCACAGAGCTTATTGGATTTCATAACGGAAAATGGCTTGCGCCAATGTAACTCTATTCTTAATAATAGGCAAAAGATACTAGATCTTGTACTCGTAGACTTACCTGTATGTTCCGTTAGTTACTCTTATAATCCAATCAGTAATATTGACCCAATGCATCCTCCCTTGAAATAAACATACCTAATGTGAGACAAAATATACTTACGATTGATACTTTACACGAGCGATACAATTTTTATAAATATTATAATAGATTATAATTCTATAAATGAGTACTTGAAGGGAATCGACTGGCATACATTATTGGACCTGGATAATATAGATGAAATGGTTAGACTATTCTACGAGAGTATACAAATTGCTATCACAGATTATGTTCCCTTTAAAAAAAGCTAAGAGTAATAGGTACCCTTCATGGATCAATTACAATGTTGCAAAAAGAATTAAAGAAAAGCACAAAATGCTAAAACGATTTAAAAAATATAATAATCCAAGGGATGAAATAGAACTAAGAGTGTTGTGTGTTGTATAATTGTTGTATCACGCGTGATACAACAATTATAACGAAAACCTGGAAAAGCAAATTCAGAAGAATCCGAAAGCATTTTGGACGTTCCTAAAGAGTAAACGCAATAATTCTAACTCGTATCCAGCTGCTATGAATAACGGAGTTAAAACTTCTACTAGCGGAGTTGAAATATGCAATATGTTCTCTAGTTATTTTGCTTCAGTATATGATGACTCAAATAGTTCCTGTCGTTTGTTTAGATCCGTCATCTCATTTACGAAAAATGCTCTATTTAGGCTTTAGTGAAAATCCAGCAGGTATAGAAATAAGTCAGAATGAAATCTTCAAAAAGCTGAAGGGTCTCGATATTAGCAAAGGTGCAGGAACGGACAATTTACTACCGGTGTTTATAAAAAATAGCGCGACTAGCCTAACTTTGCCTTTATATCTTATCTTTAAAGCCGCGCTGTGTTCGGGTACTTTTCCAGCTTTATGGAAAAAAGCAAAAGTAGTTCCAATATTCAAGAGTGATGATGAGAAAGATATACGCAACTATAGGCCCATATCAATTCTCTCGGTTTTTGCAAAAGTGTTCGAACCTTTAGTTTGTCCAATAATTCAAATGCATTTCAAACGTTTCGTTTCTGAGCATCAACATGGATTTTACCAGGTAGGTCTACCACCACTAATTTAGTTAGTATCACTTCCTCATTATCAGAAGCTATTGACTCGCAGAAGCAGGTGGATACCATATATACGGATTTTAAAAAGGCATTTGACAAAGTTCCACACGGAATACTTATTGAAAAATTGTCGTATTATGGGTTTTCAGGCCCGGTGCTAAAATGGCTTTCATCATACTTACACGACCGTTCTTTTTATGTAGTCGTTAATGGATTTAGCTCTTCAACCAATCTGGTAACGTCAGGTATACCTCAGGGCTCGCATCTTGGGCCAATTTTGTTTAATATATTTGTAAACGACATTGTTTCTTGTTTTGAAAACTCCACACCGTACTTATATGCCGATGATTTGAAAATAACGAGAACAATTTGTTCACCAATTGATTCGATTTTATTACAGAACGATCTAGATAAACTAAGCAATTGGTGTAAATGTAATGGCATGAAACTTAACTGCAGTATATTTCTTCATATTAAATTTATTTGCTGTATATGTTTTTCAGGGGTAAAAAAAATTTTATATTTTTATATTTTTTTATGCGACGGGGGGAATTTTTTAAAGAAAAAGTGTTTTTAAAACCGGGATTTGGTATTACTCAGCGAAGATTAACAAAACGGTGGTGTCCTAAGGCTAAAATACTTTAATATCATGACTCGTGACCAAAGAAGAGATTTGTTAGATTTAATGTTTTTATACAAATTACTAAGTAATAAGTTAGACTGCCCCAGTTTACTAAGTAAAATTAATTTTCGAGTACCACGCAGATATCCGCGTACTGCTATTATTACTCCAGTCATGCCTCCACGCACCAGGACGGTCTTCGGCGCCAACTCCACAATTCCTCGTTTATGTAAAATATATAATAATTTCAGTCAGTTAATTGACATCAACATTAATTCGCCTAACACCTTTCGTAAATTAATTATCAGCAGCCTAGTCAGCCAGTCATCCTGAGTGTGATTTTTTTCTCATTTAGTTGGGCTAGATTATGATAGTTGTTAAATTAAGTAGTAATTTTAATTGAAAGACTAATTATTAGTTTGATTAAATCTCTTTTGTTGTTTAAATTGATAAGTTTTTACAGGCTTTTATCAAAATTACTATTGTGTTTTTTTTGCCTGTTTCTGATTTTGTTTTCTTTTTCTGTTATTAACTTATTTCAGATTTATACACTAATACTAGCAAAAATAGCATGTAGTGTTTACCTTTAAATGATTTTACATACTCTGTGCAAGTAATATAGTAATTATACTTTAAGAAATGTATGTAACGTATGTATTGTAAAATCGCTGGTAGACCCAATAAATAAATATATAAATGTCTCCTCTTACGAAGAACAGCTCGCGACAAATTGTAAAAATGACTTAAAATATTGTCACAACAGTGATGACAAACATAAAAAAGTGATGGTTATTACATGTTACATATAATTTCATATATTTAATTCATTATTAGAACGAAAATAGCTCATAAAACCAAAAAATACCTGACCTCTCATGATACAAATGTTGCTAGTTGTGAGGAAAAAAGTTGCAAAAATTTCTTTTAAAAATCTTTATTTTTTATTATCTATTTAAAACATTAAATCGCAACGATGTGTAAAACTCATACGTTTATATGTAGATACTTACTTACTTATAGTGTTGCGCGCCATAATTAATGCCCGGTATATGGCGGGTAACAAGATCTTTCTAGAAATTTCTAACTAGCGCTATCTAGTATCGAGTGGCGAGGGCTTTCTGGAGGATTCTTTGCTAGAACTTTCGAAATTCTACACGAACATTCTAGATGTTTTCGGTGGAAAAAGTCCTATGTAAAGTCGGTAAGGAGCGCGACCGGGACAGTATTGAAATTTTGAAATCGGTTAAAGTTAAACATTACAAGATGTCCTTATTGCATTCGAGCGATTAATTGTGTATAACGAAATATCCTTAAATTTTATTATGTGTGCATTTTATCACCATGAAATTATGTATAATAAATTTATATTAGTACCATCATTATCATCTTTATTTTATTCCATTTTATATTGCCATAAAATACGTGTCTTTTAAATATTTGCACAATTATGTAATAATGAGACTGATAACTAAATTATTGTGCAAACGTCAGAAACTAGTATCACTGGAAGCTGTATATATGTGCCTGTACGAATGAGAGAAATCATGACCAACGAATTCACGTTTCACTTCGTGTTTTCCAAGACACAGGGGGATGAAGTACTGCCAAATTCCCGTCCACCGAGCTATAATAGTGAGGAAATAGAGACACAAGTATGTGCGTCATAATCCTGTCGTGCGCAGATGGCTGGTCTCCGTTGCGTCTGACCGCCGTGACCGACATTCGGTGTATGATTATTTTGCGTGAAAGCTCGTTTTTTGACTGGTGTTGTGGGGAGGGATGGACGGAGAGAGGGTAAAATTTTGCGGAGGCAACCAATATTTTTTTTTAAAAAAGGTTGGCAAACAAGCATATAGGCTACCTGATGGTAAGTGGATGCTGTGGCCCATAGATATCTTCATCTATCCTTGATTAAGAATGAAAATAAAGTTCGTAATGGTGACACCCTTGAGGATGAAGATGGAATGCCTCGTTCCCTGTTAAAAGGGTCTCCGATTCTCTACACTCACCATACGAAATGCAGCAGTATTAAGATGCTAATTCGAGCTGTTATTCTGTGAGAGTTAGGTCCTTCCTCGGTCGAGCCGACCCATTTGTGCGTTAACCTTAATATAGCTGCAGCGTGGCTCTAGCACGTATATAATTTACGACGGCAAATGACCACAGCTCACTAGTGTGGGCGGCGGGGCGCGGGCACAGCGGCGTGGTGCAGCGGCTGCTGGGCGCGGGCGCGCGCGCCTGCTCGTGCGACAAGTACGCCACGTCCGCGCTCACCTGGGCGGCGCGCGCTGGCGACGCGGTTTCCTGCGCGGCACTGCTGAAGGCCGGCGCCGACCCCAACACCGCCGGCATGTACTGCTGGACGCCGCTGCTGCAAGCCACGCAAGGTACGAGGGCGGCACTGAAAATTTCGGAAATGCTGGCATACCATTCTGCATTAACCGTTCTTTATCCCTCAAGAGGAATAGTCGTAACATGTCCGGTTTTGAAGACAAACGTGGCCACCATTTTTTTTGTAACACTCCGTGGACGAACAATTTTTGTTGGCTATAACTCATTTGCGAACACCCAAACTCGTGACTGGTTTTTTTGTTTCGGGTTCGTACGCGTATATCCAGGATTCGTCACCTGATACGATGTTATATACAGCATTTGAGGATCCTGCGTGGAATCTTTCGAGAGTTCTGACGCACCAAGTAACGCGAGCCGCTTTTTTGCTCTTCACAGAGCGAATGCGGTATCCAACGGGAAAACAACTTTTTACACCTAATTGTTCATGCAAGATTGTTTGTATTTGACTCATGCCAATGTCTAAAGTTGCCTGAATTTCGCGATATGTCACATTGCTTCCTCAATCAGCTTACGCACAGCATCAACGTTCTCTTGGGTGACTGCAGTTTTTGGACGACATTGACAGGGGATCATCACTGAGTTTGACACGTCCACGTTGAAATTCAGCAAACCAGCGATAAATTGTGGTTTTGGATGGCGCTTCATCACCAAATGCTGAAATCATCCGGTCAACATACTGTTTTTGTGTTAAACCACTTCGAAAGTCATTATAAATCATCGCTCTTGAATTTTCTCGAGTCAATTCCATTTTCTCAACGACTAAACAAGTTTGACAAAACCTTGTGACAAGACCGAGAATCTTTTTTTGAATAAATAAATGGTATTCGATTTTTAAAACCAAGGAGTTTTCAATTAATAAGATTTTAATATGATAGGAACAGTGGAAATATTCCATTCCCGATACTTTTAGTGCAGCCTAGTAACCACAATATGCTACCGATGCATTCAAAACGTTTCGCGCAGCGTCAATGATTCCAGATTCGATTCAAAATGCCTCCACGCAATGCCTGGTTACCGGGTCTCGAATTCACTCGAACATCCATTACTGCAACTGAATGAAAAATATTTCTGTAAACGAAGTAGATGCTAAAAAGCTTAATATTTTTTCAAGAAATTAGGTTTTATCCACAGACATCTCAGTTTTATCCGTGGTAATATCGTTGATGTAAATTTTGTCAGTTTTGACGATTGTGTTAACTTGATGTCTGCTAAAGGCCTGTAAACGAAAATCTTTGAGGTCTACTTAGAGCACTGTAATTCCTTCTGCAAGAACACAAATTATTGTCTGTCGAGTATTATATTGTAATTACCATCATGTGTCTCATATGATTCTAGCTTACTTCTGATCGTATCGTATTGCCGTTACATTAGGCACGGGTCTGTTAATGCATTTCTGCATACTCCTTACAGACCGCATTTCTACAGCATTTATTCTACTTTCGTGCTTCTGCCACACCCAGCTTTCACTACCATACATTAAAGTAGGGACTAACACAGCATTATGAATTACCATACGTGCCTTTTTTGACACATTCTGGTTCTTCATAATAGAGTGTAGTGCCCCATTCACTCTATTCTCTGCATTTACTCGTCGTTCTATATCCTTATCATATCTACCATCCCTGTTAAATACACATCCCAAATACACAAACTCATCCATTTGCTCAATTAATTCTCCTTCTATTCTTATTTCACATACCGTTTTGCTTTCTTCTCTTTCAAAAACCATCACTTTCGTCTTACTTGCGTTCACTTTCATTCCCCATTCTTTTAATGCCTAGTCCATTAATATAACCATCATTTGCAACTCAGCCGCCGATGACGCAAATATGACTTGATCATCGGCATACAAAAGGCATTTGACGATTAACTCGCCCATTCTTAACCCACATTCTTCATCTTTCAAAGTTTGCAAACACCTGTTCATAAATAGGTTGAACAGCCAAGGGGAAGCTACACAGCCCTGTCTGACACCTTTTTGGACACACTTTTGGCCAAACCAGTCCGAGTAGACCCCATTGATCCTAACACAAGCACTAGAGTCCCTATAAAGAGACCTTAATGCCTGTATCAAACCAGCGCTCAACCCATATGAGTTTGCCACAACACATTCCTGTCCACTCTGTCATAAGCCCTTTCCAAGTCCATGAATGCACTAAAAACTTTCTGGTTTTTGACCAAAAACTTCCCCGCAATCATGCGCATGGAAAAGACTTGATCTGTACACCCCATTCCCTTTCTAAAACCCGCTTGCACATTCCAAATTTTTCCATCAGTTTCTTTCAAAACTCTTTCAATTAACACCTTAGCATACAGTTTACCCACGGTACTAAGCAAGCTGATACCACGGTAGTTTTTGCAGCCCTGTTGTGACCCTTTTCCTTTTTATATTGGTACTATAACTGCTTTACGCCGGTCATCCGGTACCTGTTTTAACTCCCAACATAAATTAAACAAGGTGTACAGCAGGCCTGCCACCACTCCCTCTCCAGCCCTTAGCATCTCGAGTGATACTCTATCATAGCCAGCTGCCTTACCTGCTTTCATGCTTTTCATTGCTTTCATTATTTCATCTACACTTATCTCCATACCCCTTTCCACTTCTTTCGGGATTTCTAGTTCATTTAATTCAGACGACTCTTCACTCATAAACACGCTTTCAAAGTATTCCTCCCATCTGTTTAAATTCGAAACTTCATCATTCAGAATACATCCATTTTCGTCTCTTATAGCATTAATTATAGGCTGTTTTGTATTTCCCCTGGCAGTTCTTACGAGTTTCAAGAAATTTTTTATATTAGCCTGGAAATTATCAGATATCCTTCTATCATTCTTATCCGTTCTTTCTTTCTTTTTCCTTTCTACTACTTCTTTTACTCTCTTATTTAGACGTCTAAATTCTGCCCTTAACCGACGAGCATGTATGCGTAGATGTATGGATGTAAAGGAGGCGAAAGAGGTATGTCAGGATCATGCCAAATGGAAGTCCGTAGTCTCTGCCTACCCCTTGGATGACAGGCGTGAGTGTTTATGTTATGTTATTATTGGTTCCACCCCGATTTTCGAAAATCGAGTTTTCATCGCGTGAAATCGAGTTTTCAGAGCGTGCGTGCGTGCGTGTGTGCATGCGTGCGTTCGTGCGTGTATTCGTGCGTGCGTGCGTGCGTGTGAGTTTGAGTATGTAAACCTTTGAGTATGTAAACTTTTGATTTGATTTGGTTGAGTAAACGCTTGTTGTGCTATGATATCTTCTGTGCAGTTGATAACTTGCAATTGTTAAAAAGTTTTCGTGGTCCGAAATCGGTAATGGAAAGCAGTAATACACATGTTTTTCGCCTCTACGCTATAAAACCTTCGTCTAGAGTTGACAACAGTTATTTTTAATGGGATAAATAAATAATCAATGCTTATTTCAGGTAACCACTTTGAGATTGTGCAGATGCTTCTCGAGCACAAGCCCAACGTGAACGCGCTAGACAAAGAAGGGTATACCGCGCTCGCCATTGCCTGCAAAGAAGGATACTATGACATTGCACTAGCCCTCATCAACTCCGGAGCTTACATTAATGTTCAGGTAATGTGATTAGCCTAAGCACCTAAAGTAATCCACATAATTACAATGATGGCCTTCTCCGAAGTTTTGGCTATAGCGTTATCTTTCAGTTAACAACTTTATGGTTTCCTTCTCACATCGTGCATCATAGTGATAGGCATTTTAACTCGCTATATATCTAACGTAAACACCTATATTTTTTTAATGAAGAAGTCAATGACACAGAGTTCACTATAATATTAAAATATGTGCCCACCTGTACTTTTTAAAATACCACGAAACTAGAAGGAAAAAATTATTACAGATACCATTTCTGTTGATTTATTCAGTTTGATACTTACTATAAGTATTATTGACGGTTTCCTATCTTTATTTTGAATTTCAAATATACAAATTTCAAGGTATCACCTGCACTAATGTTCAAAATCTGAAACTCAAAACCCAGTAGTTGCATACATTTTGCTGAATTGACACTTGGCACTTGTGTCCGGAGCGCGCCGGCGAACGCCAGTCGTTCCCCGTCACTGCCTACGCTCGGCTACCGTGTAGGAAATCTTATTGTATCGCCAATAACAATATCCTAATCTGTAAAATTGTGATTCTGAATCTTCGATCAACAATCTGAATACAACATCATTGACTTTAATGATTTTAATTACTTAACCAGATTGCCTATCCGGTTAAGTAATTAAAACCACTTATTAAACAAATTACAATCAACACCCTTTGCACCTTCTGTGAGTCATATTGCAGGACTTAGAATAGCTAGCATAACGCTTGCACAACCTATTCATCTCCTTATTTACTCGAAACTGTTAAAATACTGGAATAAGTTTTCCTAAAATACTATGATATTACCTAATTATTTCATTCATATTATATAAAGATTATGCCCGGGCTGTGTTAATTCCGTACAAATGTATTCTTCCTTGTTATTTTCCATTGATTATTTTGAAAACCAGGTTAAAAGTTTCTTGGTTACCTTCTTCTTTACACTCGGGCCAACCCTATTTTTAGTATATATAAATCAGTTAACCGACTTAGATCTTGAAGAAGCAGACATTACGATGTATGCGGACGATACAGTAATTCTATTCCATGATAGTACATTGGAAAAGACCAAACGTTTGGCTGAAAAGGGGTTATGTGAAGTGGCAAGTTGGCTCGAAGACAGTCTTCTCTCTCTGAACGCTTCTAAAACCACATACCTCTGTTTTAGTAAGACTAGTGTTTCAAGTCCTCTGAACGATCTTGGATTACAAATACACTTGAATAAATGCAGTAGACAATCACAGACCCCTTGCTATTGCCCAAAACTCAACAGGTCCAAAACTGTGAAATACTTAGGGATCACTGTCGATGAAAATCTGAATTGGGCTCCACATATCAAAATCATATCAAACAGGATAAGGAAACTCATATATGTTTTTAAATCATTGCGTCTGGTGGCAGACTCTAAGTTACTGATACAAACTTTTAATGCACTCTGTCAATCTGTCATCACTTATGGGATCTGTTCCTGTGGGGTGGGGCGGGCAAAACGTACTTAATAGATGCTGAAAGAGCTCAACGTGTTGTGCTCAAAGTATTACTTTATCTCCCGTATAGATATCCCACAACACTGTTGTATGACAAAACGCAGGTAATTAGTGTGCGAAAATTATTTATATACCAATGTATTAGGCGATTCCATAGGTACTCTGCACACTCTCAACTTGACAGTATAAAATATAATAGAAGAAATAAAGCAGATAGATACTTAGTCCCTAGAACACATAGTGCTTTTGCTAAAAGACAATTTTTTTACCTTGCGCCAGTACTATACAATAAATTTAACAAAATTTGTATTGCTAAAAGCTACAACAACCATCAAATCAAAAATAAAATTATTAATTGGCTTCAAACTTATGACTATGACGCTACCGAATGTCTATTAAACCTCTAATATGTAAATGTACGAGGGTGGATTGAAAAGTACTCGGCCTAACATAGATCCATTCAATTCTAAAAATCAAATCTACCCACATTATTTAGTTCAGTTCAGACTAGTTCATTGTGTGAAGTTCGAAACGTGTGCGATAATTAGTTGTGATTTTATAAATTTATTAACATAGTAATCGGACATAATTTCCGCGAATGGAGCAAATCGAGCAGCGTGCCGTCATTAAGTACCTCCATAAGAAGGGGCTATCATCAAAAGCCATCCATGATGACATAGTCAGTACATTAGGCGATTGTGCTCTGTCATATTCATCCGTCAAAAAATGGATAGCAGAATTTAAGCGTGGTAGAGAGAGTGTGAAAGATGAACCCCGCTCTGGAAGGCCTTCGACGTCAACTACTGACGAAAATATTAAAAAAGTACTTGATTTAATAATGGGAGACCGCAGATTAAAAATTAGAGAGATAGCCGAGATTATAGGCATCTCTTATGAACGAACTCAAAACATCATTGTCAACGAGTTGGGTTTCCACAAGGTGAGGTGGGTTCCGCGACTGCTTTCAGTTGAACAAAAAAGGACGCGATTGACTATTTCACGCGACTGTTTGGAGTTATTTGAAGCCGATGCAGATGATTTTTTGAATCGTTTTGTTACTATGGACGAAACATGGGTTCATTACTTTACACCGGAAACAAAACAACAATCAAAACAGTGGAGAAGACCTGGTTCACCACCCCTAAAAAGACTAAGTCGATTTTGTCGGCAAATAAGGTGTTGGCTTCAGTATTCTGGGACTCGAAGGGTGTGATTATTATTGATTATCTTGAAAGGGGTCAGACTATAAACTCTGATTACTACTGCACCTTACTACGTCGTTTACGAGAGGAAATAAAAGAAAAACGTCGAGGAATGCTCAGAAGAAAAGTCCTGTTTCATCAAGATAACGCCCGTGTTCACACGTCAGTACAGTCAATGGCTGAAATTCACAACTGTGGCTTTGAACTGTTACCGCATCCGCCGTATTCACCTGATCTGGCACCATCAGACTTCTTTCTGTTCCCTAACCTAAAAAAGCACTTGGGAGGTCAAAGATTTTCCACAAACGACGAGGTCAAAGCAGCTGTAGACGCATATTTTGACTCTAAGGAAGAATCATTTTTTTCAACGGTCTAAATGCTTGGAAGGGGAGGTGGCAAAAGTGTATTGAACTTGATGGTGATTATGTAGAAAAATAAAAATATAACTGATTTAGTATGTGTTTATTTTCTTGGTTAGGCCGAGTACTATTCAATCCACCCTCGTAATTGTAATTTTTTATTGTTCTCATTATTATTTGTTATTATACGCATAAATCATTAATAATGCAGGCAATCATACAAATTTCAAAATTTAAAATCTTCATAGTAAATAGTAAAAACACACTCACCACACATACACTCATGTACGCACACGCACGCACACACACACACACACACACACACACACACACACACACACACACACACACACACACACACACACACACACACACACACACACACACACACACACACACACACACACACACACACACACACACACACACACACACACACACACACACACACACACACACACACACACACACACACACACACACACACACACACACACACACACACACACACACACACACACACACACATACACACACACACACACATACACGGCGCACATGTACGTAGGTTTAGTAACAAGTAGATCTATATATATTTTTGGTATTTTTTTGTGATTTTATTCAACAAAAGCTTGTTAAGTTTAGGAAGGAACTAGCTCCTGTTACGCAGGTTAACCTTTTACAGGAGCTAGGATCACATTGATATGTATAAATTCGTTTTTGTTGCAATAAAGATTTTTCAATTTTTTCTTAAAATACCGTCGTTATTATACACAGAAATCAAATATAAATACAGGTAGCCAAATGTTTCTTACAGTTTGTTCAGTTTTGAAGGATAGAAACGGAATATGGTAACGTGATTTCGTTAATTTCGAGTTGCAGTTTTCTCACTCGAACACGTAATTTTTAGAATAGGTTTTAACAAGATCGTTAAAACCTGTTCTAAAAATTACTTGCAGCCAAGGCTTTTGTACTATGTAATTTATTTCCATTTAATTAATTTACAACAGGACCACTCAAAAGACACCCCGCTAATCCACGCTGTGAAGGGAGGCCACAAGAACATCGTAGAAGCATTGTTAAAGAAACACGTGGACATCGACTTGCCGGGCAAGGATAAGAAGACCCCGGTGTACACTGCCGTGGAGAAAGGCCATGTCGCTATATTGAAGCTGTTATTGGCTTCTAATCCAGACCTCGAGCTCAGTACAAGTGTAAGTCGCTTATATTCGTTTTTGTTATTTTTGGCGACGGGTCTACCGTACGACCTCAAATATATGTTATGTCTGTCCAGTGAACCTAAAAACTGGCGCATGTGAATAAATGACGTAGCTCATTGTGAAGTGCCTGAAGCACATGCGACTGTAAAAAGTAGACATGACTTTTTCAGTGTTTTTTTTTCTTCGTAATACTTAATATCTATTATTTTTTTAAACCTTTGTACAATTATTTTGATTAGGTAAGTCTACATTTGTTAATACTTTTAACCATTGAGTTATACAACACTTTATGCAGGAGCAAACCACATTACCGCGAATCGAAAAAAGTGTAACCACTATCCAAACGCGACGACGTAGCTTTGAAACTAATAACAATTTTAAGTAAACATATATCTATCTCACTTACACAAGTTACGAAAACAATATCGTCGCTAAGATTAGATAAAGATAGACACACAAACATGCAATGGCGGGTTGGTGTGGCTTACTATATGAAATTTTACCTAAAATACGCAATAAAAATGAGTTTTTTTTAAGCTGCAGTTAAATGTTTTTATATTAAAAAAGTATATTTCATTTTAAAATCTTTATTACGTCCCCTTAGAAAAAAAGGATACAAAGCTTATCAGATGAATATAGGTAAACATAATGATGAAATAAAACGTATTTTTATGGTACTAATAAATCAAACAATATAAAATAGGTAATAAAATATATTTAATAGATAATTCATGAATAAACTAAAATAAGAATAATTAATTATTTTGTATGAAAGTCAAAACGTAGTTTTTATTATAATTTCCAAAATATTTAAAATCAGAGGTAACAAATTAACTTAATCCATTAATTATAGTGTCTCCCATTAATGTAGTATAATCACAAATGCGGAAAAGTGGCAACATTGAACATAAATGGCAATATTCGATAATTTTATTTAATTATTTGAGGTTTTTTTACGTTTATATGAAAACAAGAACTAAAAATTATGTGTTGAAAGTGATTCCGCTTGTTTTATTACGTTTTTGTGACCTTGAATAGCATTATTTCAATTTCAATACAGGTATATTCTATGGATAGGTCGGGTGGCCAGATATCCTCGCCTCATAGAAATTGCGAAGTCACAATAGAATTGGTATGGTGCATATATACAACATACATATTTGACATTATTAGTTAATACATAATACGTTCTAATTTGCTTACATCTAGTTTAATTGTACAGGCATTTATATTTTTAAATACTCCTCTCTTATTTATTTATTCATAATTTTTCATCTCACTTTTTATTATTTTAACTTTATTTATAACATACTTTTATATTTGGCTAACCATTACTTTATTTTTCATTTTACTCCATAACATTCATGCTCGCGTACATACATACATTATCAAGATAATGGACAACTTTCTTGTACATTTCTTAATGAATTCTCATTTTCTTCCTTCTTATATAATTTTTTTTTAATTTTTTTATAATAAAAATAATCGTTTATTAAGTTTTTCGAACTCTCAGCGGATCAGGCTGATTGTAAGTGGATAGGCTAACCTCTGACAATTTTTTATCAATATTTTTAATTCGTAATTGCGTATCCGCAACTTAGTCCTAAACTTCACTCACATCTTTTACGAATTTTTATTATAAAGTCTCTTATAGTATTTAGGTATGTATATCATATTCATTTATAGTCTGGAAATGAGGCTCACAATAACAGCACAAAAAATTTAAGATTGTATATACATAATATAATGAGTTTGATTTTCATAATTCACGCAGATAATTGTTTACAATTTTTTGGCGATATTTTAAAAATGGCCCACATTAGAAGTACCCGTAACACAGAATAAATAATAGTACTACGTACCCGTAACCGAAGAGCGTGTATGCGTAGATATATGGATGTAAAGGAGGCGAGCGATGTATGTCAGAATCGTGCCAAATGGAAGTCCGTAGTTTCTGTCTACCCCTTTGGGTGACAAGCGTGAGTATATATATATATATATATATATATATATATATATATATATATATATATATACACAACATGTAACAAAAAACCTGTGGTTTCCGTTAACTGCGCTATCAGAATCAGTATTTTCAAGCGTATAGAAATATTTTTTTTTCAGAAAAGTCGACCACAATTTTTTTTAATTTAATTTAAAAAAGTAATTAAAAGTAGTTGTGACAGAGTATTGCGTTTGGCAGAAAAAAGCCTGCGGCGCTTGTAGCAAAATGGGAAACACAGTTTGCTAACTTCAGTAGCGCTGACACAATCCGCCATTTTGCTTATTTAATTTGTTTGTTTTGAAGTAGATTTTATCAGCTGTTTTGTGGAAAATTAGTTTTAAGTAATATAAGGACATGAATAAACATATACATGTTATTAAAATTCTTGATTGGTAAGTTTTTAATATGAATACTTTACAAACATATATTTAAATTAGGTTAGGTTCCCCGGTTAAAACTAACTTCTTGTCCTAGAGGAAAATAGCTACTTACGATTTGACAGCGCTTACCGCTTACGATCGCCATTTTGCTTACAAGCGCTTGCTAGCGCTTTTTTCTGCCAAACGCACCCATTATGTAATATTATATTAAATTAGCATACATGCAAAATAAGTGACAATTAAAATTTTTTTTTGGATACAATTAAAAAAACCATCTAAATAAACAATTTTACATACTGATAATTCTACCTACGTATAATAATCTATGATGACAGAAAATGCCCGCGCAGGCGCAATGCGCGTTTATCAACTGCGTATGCGCGACTCATACATGAAGTAGCGCACATTTTTTTATTTGGAATAGCTTCTCTAGTACGTAGTACATATAACTCAAAATAGTAATGTTTCTTTTAAATGATTTCAATTATCACAACAAAACTATATTAAATTCGTAGTATTTTATACATAACTTTTCCAAAAATATTGTAGCAAAAACAAAATTAAAAATCAAACTAATGACGTTTTAAATAGAATTATAAGTCAACCAAATCTAAGAAATACCTTTTGACGTTTCACATTAATCATTCAGTAATAACTTTGCACAACCGTACTCACACGATTTAAAATAACCATTTACGTAAATCCGAAGAATTATAAAGTTATCTTTATTTCTTTACAACGTGTATAGTTTTTTTATCACTAATTTAAATTTGAATCTTTCAAACAAAGCAAAATATTAAAAAATAACCAGTATCAACTTTTTTTACTTGACGTCGTTTTAATGATATGTCGCTATGTACATTACCGTAGTGTTTGGATGATTAAAATTCATTGTTATGCGAATAATCGGCAAAAATATTCAAATAATCGGTAAAAGTATTCAAATAATCGATTAATCATTTTAATGTATTATTTGTTTAATTTAATTTTTATTTTTCAAATTCCTTACATTACATGAATCATGAATAAAACAAGTTAATTTTTTAATTTGTCAACGTAAATTTGTGTAGGGTAAAAAACTCATATACAAGGCCGCGCTGAAAAAACCACTACGTATTTTCAATATCCGCCATTTCGGAAGCTTACTGTGCGTAATTTTGTGATTTTGTGTTTGTCTTCTTATTTTGTGACTCGGGTTTAACTTTTTGGACTGTTTCTTTTATATTCGTTGAAGCATGTGCCCATGTCAAAAAGGATCATTGGGTGGTAGAAAAAAATTATTATTAATGATTTATAATTTTGACTGCATTATCGCTCAATATCTTTAGCTACCGTGGTTGCGAAGGTTCTGGACAGTTTGCTTGATCAGCAACGTAGCCAACACATTCACCTACATGGGGCTCAGTTTGGTTTCAGGCCAAGGCTTTCAACTGAAACTGCCATGCTGCGACTCAAGCATACTGTCCAGTATTATACTACGCGAAAAACGCCGGTTTACGCGTGTTTCTTGGACCTGTCGAAGGCATTTGACCTGGTTTCGTACAACGTTCTATGGAATAAACTTAACCAGGAAACTAGCACACCTAAAGAAGTAATTAACCTCTTCAAGTATTGGTATCACAACCAAGCTAACTGTGTGAAGTGGGCTGGTTCGTATTCGTCGGAGTACAGGTTGGAGTGCGGGGTGAGGCAGGGCGGCCTTAGCTCCTCTCAACTTTTTAACCTGTACATGAACGGTCTGATCGTGGAGCTCAGTGAGGCCGGAGTCGGCTGCTCAATTGACGGTCATTTTGTTAATAATATAAGCTATACCGATGACATGGTTTTGCTGAGTCCTTCGATCAGGGCCCTCGAAACCAGTGGCGAAGCTTCTATACAAGCCCAAAAGCCCGGCTTGCCTCATTAAGATGAATCAATCAATTATATTAAGTAATAAAATAACTCGAAAACTATTTCAAATTTCCCGCGCACTCTGTGAGACCTCGTAGCCTTACGAATACTGCTGTCATACATATAAGGAGAGTTGAATTGAGCGATTGGTTTTCTCCCTCGCACGCGTGGGCTTTTTACCGGGCTTTCGAGAAGGCGATCGCTCCCTTTCTAACCTGTGGCAAAATGTTCTATAATGAAATATAACTACGATTGTATAAATAGCAATTAGTATGGAGCTAAAAAGCCCGGCTTTTTAGTCACCATTAATTTTTTCCTCAGAGCGGGACGCCTTTAAAATTATTATAGTTCTAACACTTTTGACTGCCTTCTTGGTCTAATGGCAGTAAACGCAATTGCTGATCATGTGGTCCCAAGTTCGAAACCCGAGTCGGGTCAAGAATCATTTATTGGGTTTTTCCGTCACAAAATTCTCAGTAGCAGTAGTATTACACTTATTGTATATGTTAGTATTATACTTATGCCATTATTAAAAATCAATCTGGAACCCTTTAATATAGTTTTATAAATAAAACACATAGTTGTTTGAGTCTTTTAATGATCAAAAGTGAATTTTAAACATCAAATAAATACTAACTGGAAATATCTTATGTTATTTGATAATTTATTGTAGATTAATTAAAAATTATCACTTCGTAACTTTAAATTCAAAAGTGTAG